TGGACCTGGGGATGCTTTAAAAAACGTCCCGTTGAGGCGGCATTTAGAGCGATACGGCGCTGATGGGCTCCTTGAGCCCCACGTGGGCTGCGGCTCCCGGGACCATTGATAAAGGGCTGGTGCAGCCGCTGCATTTCAATGCCATGGATGTTCCCTCCTCACAATCTCTGGCGGTAAAGCGCTGCCGCCTGGGCCAGGAACCGCGGGAGCCGGGCTGTGAGCTGAATTCACAACACGGGCAAAATTTCCACTGGGCCGTGGCAGAGTCAGGAGCTGAAATGAGAGAAACTGAGTCTGCGGCATCCTTCCTAACGCCCAGCCCAGCTCGGGGAGCTGCAAGAGGAGCTTCAACCAGGCACCAGGATCCAGCTCCGGGAATTCCCCTGGGGTGCATCCCGCGGTTCCTTCTTTACCACAGAGCTCTGCCCCAGCCCCACACACATTTCAGGGGACGGACACAGCTCTCTCCAGCACGTGTGGCTGGATCCCGCGCAGGATGGAGTGTCCGTGGCCGACGGTGCCGGTGCTGACCGCCCGCCTGTGGTTCCCGGGATGGGACGTGTCTCGGGATGCAAACAAACAGCGATATCAGAGCTGGGAGAGAGAAGGCAGGAGGTGTTGGAGCGGGGTTAGCAGCTTCCCGCGGCTGGCATAGCAAACCCTGTTTTTCTTTTCCCGGTTAGATATTAAGCACGCCAGTACAAACCCAGCAACAGCCAGGGTCTGTTTGTTGCCTCTTAAAGCGGTAACACAGCCCTGGTCTGACTGCCAGTGCCCTGCAGCCTTGCAAGGCAGGAGCTCCCAAGGAACCCATGGGCTCCGAGAGCAGTGTCAGGCACAGCAAAGGCTCTGCCACGGCGCTGCAGGTCCCTGGTCCCCCTGGCACTGCCACCGAGGCCAGCACACGTCCCTGTGCCACCTTAGGCTCCTGTGCTGGAGGCGCGGGAGCCGGCGGATGCCCCAGGATAAACCCCACCAGCCGTGGGACCGCATCGGCCACAGGGAAACTGCTTATTAATGGTATTTATTTGTAAATGCCTGAGCCCAGCCGCCCTGCTCCGGCAGAGCTGGGGATGCAGGACTGGGCACAGTGGGGACACAGGACTGGGGACAGCGGGGACACAGGACTGGGCACAGCGGGGACAGAGGACCAGGCACAGTGGGGACACAGGACCAGGCACAGTGGGGACACAGGACTGGGCGCAGCGGGGATGCAGGGCACAGCGGGGACGCAGGGCACAGCTCACCCTCCCAAGCGCTGCCCAGCCGCAGCATCGCTGCATCTCCCGCACTTGCAGCTCCCGAGGTGGGGACGCAGGACTGGGCACAGCAGGGACGCAGGACTGGGCACAGCGGGGACAGAGGACCAGGCACAGTGGGGACACAGGACCAGGCACAGTGGGGACACAGGACTGGGCGCAGCGGGGATGCAGGGCACAGCGGGGACGCAGGGCACAGCTCACCCTCCCAAGCGCTGCCCAGCCGCAGCATCGCTGCATCTCCAGCACTTGCAGCTCCGTCCCCGTGTGCATCACTCGCACCCCTGGGCAGCGGGTGCCCGGCCATGCCAGTGGTGCACAGGAGCAGCCAAGTCGCTCTTCAGGCAAGTTTGACACACGGACCCAGGGGTGCAGCCGGCGGACGTTGTGAAACATGCGGCCAAGGGACAGGGCGGCTGTTTGGCTCCAGGCTTTGCTGGGCGTTCGGAGGAAGAACTTGTTTGACCGCTTGTTGTCCAACCGTCCAAGCCAGGAGCCCGGGGCTGGTGCAAGCCACCCCTTGCCCCACCTTCTCCAGCTTTTGGGCAGGGGGGAGCCTATAAATGTTGCCTGACAAGTGCAAGAGAAGCCAAAGGAGCTGGCAAGCATAGGCAAGAGGAGGAGGGGGTTCGGCAGACACCAGCCCCGCCATCACAGTGACATCGGGGCTGCGAGGCAGTGCCGGGGCCGGGGAGTGCTGGCTCTGCCCCTCCTTGGAGGAACCGTCTCCTTGGCTCAGCAGGGTAAGAGATAATCCTGACCCTGCTCCGTGGGTCCCTGGTCACCGACAGCGGCCACGGCCGAGCCGGGGGGTCCCCGAGGTGGGCCATGGGCACCCCAGGGCTGCCGCTCCCCTCCTCCTCTGCTGGCAGAGTGAGAGGAGGAGGAGGAAGCGAGGAGGATCGGCATTAATTCAAACACCGACCGACCGCCCTGCGTGGACTTTATCCTGCCCCGTCCACCGCCGGGCAGCAGCTGGCACCACGGCGCTCCGGAGGGCTCCCAGAGCCCTCGCCGGGGTCCCAGGAGGTGCTGCATCTCCTCCTCAGGCATTTCGGGAGGAGAAAATGAGTTTTTATTCCCATGGGAAGCACGTGAGTACCCCACCTGCGGGAAAAACCTGCGAGTGGGTGTGCAGGGGGAAACCCCAGCCCTGGCACTGGCTCTGGCGCAGTCCCACACCGCGGCACCATTTACCGGCGGTACTCACTGCTCATCCCTGGGGCGGCAGAGGGGACATCCATCCCTCTCTGCTCAGGGACACGCTGCTGGGGCAGCGAGGGCAGTGACCCCCAGCACCGGGCTCGAGCTCTCGCTGCGGTGAAGGAGGAAGAGTGCCACCACAGCCGGAGCTGTTCACGTGTCTTCGCATCCCGCCGGCTCCTCATGGCACGGTTCTGGCAGCAGCTTCTCACTGAGGCCATGCCCCAGGCTGTCATCACCGGCTGTGCCACGTCCCCGACCTTTCCTCCGGCCATTCTAGCTGCTCACACCTCCTCTCTAATGCGCCCGTTTCTCCCCCGGTTAGAAAATCATCCACCGCAAAGGAAAGCCAGCTAAGCCACGGCAGGACCCTCCCAGCCCAGGGAGGGTCACGGATGAAGGCAAATGCCGGAGACACGAACCTTCTTTGCAGATCCAGCACCAGCAGCCAGAGTCGTGGAGCCGACAATCCCCAAAAACCATCATCTCCGTGGTGCTGCTGCACCCCCTGCTAACCACGCAACCCCTTTTTTCACAGATATATGCATCAAGGCAAAGAAGTCCTCGGTCAGCGTAAGAAGCCATGGAGACCAGCAGCAGCCCGCCCTCTGTGACCCCCGCGTGGGACGTGTTCCCGCAGCAGACGCTGGGTGCCATCGACATCGCCGTCCTGGTGCTGTACTTCGTGTTCGTCCTGGCGGTGGGGCTGTGGGTAAGCACACACCGCTGAAAGCTGTCGGATGTGCCTTGTTCTGCCAAAAAATATGGCTGGGGGGGG